AAAGTCTTTTCAACAAATGGTGTTGGGAAAATTGGACAGCCACATGCAGAAAAATGAAACTGAACCATTTCCTTACACGAAAATTTCCTTACATGAAAATAGATTCAAAATAGATTCATTTCCTTACATGAAAATAGATTCAAAATGGATAAAGGACCTCAATGTGAGACAGGAATCCATCAAAATCCTTGAGGAGAACACAGGCAGCAACCTCTTCGACCTCAGCCGCAGCAACATCTTCCTAGGAACATCACCAAAGGCAAGGGAAGCAAGGGCAAAAATGAACTATTGGGACTTCATCAAGATCACAAGCTTATGCACTGCAAAGGAAACAGTGAACAAAACCAAAGACAACTGACAGAATGGGAGAAGATATTTGGAAACGACATATCAGATAAAGGGCTAGTATCCAAAATCTATAAAGAACTTATCAAACTCAACACCCAAAAAAACAAATAATCCAATCAAGAAATGGGGAGGGGCACCTGGGTGGCTCAGTGGGTTAAAGCTTCTGCCTTCAGCTCACGTCATGATCCCAGGGTCCTGGGATCGAGCCCCACATTAGGCTCTCTGCTCAGCAGGGAGCCTGCTTCCCCTTCTCTCTCTGCCTGCCTCTCTGCCTACTTGTGATCTATGTCTGTCGAGTAAATTTAAAAAAAAAGAAAGAAATGGGCAGAGGACATGAACAGACATTTCTGCAAAGAAAACATCTAGATGGCCAACAGACACATGAAAAAGTGTTCTACATCATTTGGCATCAGGGAAATACAAATCAAAACCTCAGTGAGATACCACCTCACACCAGTCAGAATGGCTAAAATTAACAAGTCAGGAAACGACAGATGCTGGCGAGGATGAGGAGAAAGGGGAACCCTCCTACACTGTTGGTGGGAATGTACCTGGTGCAGCCACTCAGGAAAACAGCATGGAGCTTCCTCAAAAAGTTGAAAATAGAACTACCCTACAACTCAAGAATCGCGCTACTGGGTATTTACCCCAAAGATACAAACGTAGTGATCCGAAGGGACACGTGCACCCGAATGTTCATAGCAGCAATGTCCACAATAGCCAAACTATGGAAAGAACCTGGATGTGCATCAACAGATGAATGGATAAAGGAGATGTGGTGTATACATACACACATAAACACACACACACACACACACACACACACACACACACACACAATGGAATACTATGCAGCCATCAAAAACCCTAAATCTTGCCATTTGCGATGACGTGGATGGAACCATAGGGTATTATGCTTAGCAAAATAAGTCAGTCAGAGAAAGACAATTATCATATGATCTCCCTGATATGAGGAAGTTGAGAGGCAATGTGGGGTGTTTGATGGGTAGGAAAGGAATAAATGAAACAAGATGGGATCAGGAGGGAGACAAACCATAAGAGACTCTTAATCTCACAAAACAAACTGAGGGTTGCTGGCGGGGAGAGGGGTCGGGAGAGGGTGGTGGGGTTATGGACATTGGGGAGGGTATGTGCTATGGTGAGTGCTGTGAAGTGTGTAAGCCTGGCAATTCACAGGCCTGAACCCCTGGGGCTAATAATACATTATATGTTAATAAAAATTAAAAAAAAAAAAAAAGAGAAGCAGTCTCCATGTTAAACCCCATTAGCTGCTTTCTACAAAGACCAGCGTAGAGCTGAAGACAGAGCCAGGGTTCTATTTCCAGCTGCCAAAATAAGTTGACAGCTTGTTTCTAATGAAGTGTAATCGACATAGAACATTATATTAGTTTCAGGTGTATAACATAATGATTCGATATTTGTATACACTGTGAAACGACAGTTTTTTGTTTTTTTTTTTAACCATTCTTTCTAATGACCTCTCTGGCTGGCGAACAGATTACTTTTCCGTTTTTAACTTGATCGGGCACAAGAACAAGGAGAGAACTGTTAATATTTCTCTGGCTGTGCGCTTTGGCAACACACCAGATTTAGCTGTTTAATTTACAGCAATATGGCTGCGGGCAAGTCAACCTAATGATGGAAACTAAAGATTTAGAGTTAAATATTAAATTTATCTCAGTCTTTATTTCTTGCTTTTCAACCAATAAAAAAAATGCCTCTGGGATATTCTAGTGTGAACATATCTAGCTTGTGTGGTGCGTTATGTACGGCCAAAAGGGTGTAGAACTCTACATGGACCAGCCCAACATTCGTTTCTTCTTATTTTGCATTGGCGGCATAACCTCTACTAGTTGGCAATGAGATACCCTTTATAGTGTTCATGTCAAAAGTGGCTTGGCCTAGAACTTTCCATGATAGGATAATATGCCTACTTCTACTTCGAAGGCCTGTGTCTTTCTCTCTGGGGAATTTTCTATAACCTGGGGCCCTGGATAAGCAAACAAGCAAGGACCGTGCCGTAGTGAAGGCTTTTTTAAACTTCTGGTTCTTGCTATTTAAATCCAAGTTCACAGTTGATGAGTATGTGTCCGTGCTACAATCAAGGAAAGTGGATGGCAATTCGTTTTTTTCTTACCTATTTCCTCACTGACACACCACAAACCAAACCCTGCCCTTGATACTCTGGTGAAACAGCTGTCCGTAATGGTTCCCAAAGAACTGAAAAGGCGCGTTTCCTTCTCCACCCTACCCGGTTTAACTCCTGCTCTGCATCCTGATGATCCCTCCTTTCCTCTGGAAACCTTCCCTTGGCTGTTTGAACCTCCTCAGTTCCCACTCATCTTCCTCCCTCAATGGATAGTCTCTCGTCTTCATTAGTTCCCATCTCTTCACGTGAACCTTAAATGTGGAAGCTCACCAGCTTCTGTCCTATGTCTCTTCTGATCTCAGTCCATCCTCTCTCAGGCCATCCCTCCACTCCTGTAGTGTCCACTCCTGTCCATGTGTTGATGGCTCTTGGCTCCACATCATGGCTCAACCTTCCCTGAGGCCCAGGTCTGTGGGTCCACCTCAGTCCACTCCCACAGCATTGCAAACTCAACCAAACCAATCACATGAGTTTGATTGGTATAACCAATTCCGTCTTTTTTTTTTAATTGAATAAATTTGACACGTAACCCTGTGTAACTTTAAGGTACGTAGTGCATTTCTGTGGTACATTTGTGTATTATGATTGTCAATGTCCAATGTCTTCTTGTATCATCAGCTTCTCAATCTGGAAACCTCTCCGTGGCTCATCACACTCAATCCTATAATGGCAGAAGTAGCTTTCAAACCCATCCTTTCTGTCCCTACTTCTACTTTCTATACTTTGTCTTCCTCACTTGGGCTATTCCTGTAACTTTCTATCTGGTTCTCCTTAATTCTAGGATTTTCCCCTTCTGTTTTCTGTAATGCTTTTTAATTCTCTTGATAAAATAAAATAAAATAAAATAAAATAAAATATAAAATCCTTTGACTTACAGAGAACCTTCATAACAAGGCACAAATTTACCAACAACAGGGTCAAACCCAATAACCTAGCAACATTCCCTGCCCCTCTCCCATGCTCTCATTGTGCCAAACTCTTTCCGTTACCTAAACACCATTCCATGTTTTCATTAAGAGAACATTTACCAAGCATGTGACATCACGAGCTCTGAGCCTTTGTCAACTGCTCTTAATCCTGGTTCTACCGTGTGGTCACCATCTATATAATCTCACTCAAATTTTCCATAATAAAGTAGTAAAATATAACTAAATCCATTAAATCTACTGAACGTGTTGGATACCATGTGATTTAATGCTTCAGTGCTCTTGTACCTGCTCTTTGTTTCCTAATGTCGCCTTTACCCAGACTTACCCTCCAATCCTGGTCTTTCACTTCTACCCACTTCCCAGCTACCTGGTAGATGCCTGCACGGAGTGGAACAGTCAGGCGATGGGCTGCAACCGTGAAGGGCTGGACGTGCTGGCCTCAACTGAACGCTGCTACCCCTCAGCTCCCTGCTAAGTGTAGCCAGGGCTCGCTCTCACTGAACACGGCCAACAGTCCTCTCCGGTTCTCACTGTACCCTCATCTCATAGATGGGGAAACTGAAGTTTACCGAAGTGACTCCCCAGGCAGCTCAACGCCAACACTGGCTCTCAACCCAACCCTATACCACCTGCCAGTCACAGCAGGGGACAAATAAGGAGAAGACAAAATTCTCTTTGTACTACGAATGCAACCAAATGAAACAAGCCTAAGAAAGAAGACTGGTGAGAAATACCACAGAGTTTGCCATCATGGTTGTGTGAGATGATAGGAATATTGGGCATCTCACCCCCTCGCCCCCCACAGCTAAATGTCAGCTGTTTGCCTATTAAGACTGTCCCATTCCCCTCACCCCCAGGAAAGGCTACCTACTCTGTTCCTGGGGCATTTGTTAAATACATCTCTGCTACAGCACTGCTCTCATTGTGCAATTTTTCTGCTTTACCTGGTTTCGCCTGATTGACTGAGCACCCCAAGAAGAGAGACTATGTTTTTTCATGTGTCTCAACCTCCGATACCTAGCAGAGTGCCTAGAATGTTTTTTTTTTTTTAAAAAAAAAAGTCTAATATGGGCATCTGATGAATGAGTGGTCTCTGGTGCAGGCTCTGTGAGCCGGATGTGAGCCCTTGCCACTGCTCAGCTCTGGGTTGGTAATGCAAAGGCAGCCATAGACAATACATAAATAAATAACCATGGGGGTATTTTTTATTTTATTTTATTTATTTGACAGAGATAGGGAGAGAAAGAGATAGAGGGAGGGAGAGGCAGACCCCCCACTGATGAGGGATCTTGATGTGATGCAGGACTTGATCCCAGGACCCCAAGATCATGACCCAAGCTGAAGACAGATGCTTAACCGACTGGGCCACACAGGCACCCCAGGTGTGTTTCAATAATCCCTTTTTCATGGACAGCAACATATGAATCTTATATAATTTTCACATGTCAAGAAATATTACTCTTTCTTTTATTTTTTTTCCCCAACCATTTAAAACTGTAAAAACCATCGTTAGGGTAGACTGGACAAAAACAGGAGGCAGCCAGATTCAGTCCATGGACCGTGGTTTGCCATCCTCTGCTCTGAGCCCATCAGGTTCCTCGTCCCGGTTCTCAGCATGGGTACTGTCCCGCCGTGCCCTGTGCCAGGTGGTGATGGAGATGAGCTGGGAAGGCCGCTCACCGCCCGCCACCCCCCGGCGACGCCGCAAGCCGTCGCACCAGCACAGTTCCACCAAAACGGGGACCGAAGGGACTGCTCGTGAGAGAGGGCCCACTCAGTGGAGTGAAGCAACCTGGTACAGCTCGCAGAGAGCGGTGTTTTCTACTCATCCACAGAGCCACTAGTTAGTCTCTTGGCAGGAAGGGCTGGAAGGTTGGCAAGTAGGGCTGCTAGTTAAAACTGGGGGCAGTGGGCAGACCAGAAGCAGTTACCCAGGAAGTACGTGGACGTGTGCGTTCAGGAAGGCCGAAAGACCCACAGAAAAGTTGCATCCAAATGCGGCCCGTGTGCCAGATAGCTTTTCATCTGTTGCAAATAAAGGAATTTAAAATTCCCAAACAAAGCAAAGCTCCAGAGGATTGTGCCAAGGTAATGGGATTATAGCACTGAAAACAGGTCAATGGAAAGACACCTGCTTTTTAAATCAGCACAAATAGCTCGGAAGCATTGGGCGGCTGCTTCTCTTAACCTAGAAGCAGTGGAGCTTGGTAGGAAGCCGCTCCTTACGTAAAACTTACCTTTCCTGTTGAAACAGGCTTTCGTTGCTTCTTGAGTATCTCTCGGGGAGGTCACGAGGGGAATTTGCTAGACTTCAAAGCAGGGAAAAGAGGAAGCTTTGCAACAACACACTCAGGCATCCGTGTGAGCATGTCAGCTGCCCCATATCTCCGGTATTAATCTCACACTCACTGCGGTCCTGAAAAGTTGAAGGAAGTGAACGCTAACATTTTAGGAGGGTTTAATCAATGGTGCACCAGCAACAGCTAGCTGCCACCAGCTGTGTCGCGAGCCGGGCTTGCCGACTTCTTTGTGCTGTGGTGTATTCATTTGTAGCATGAAGAGACTGCGCGGCCCCTTTCTGCTCTGTGACTCTGGGATGATAGTACGGATTCCTACCCTTGTATAACCTGAATTTCACCAGATCTTACCAGTATTTACATAGTATTCTGGCCAAAAAGCCTCTCGCCTGGAATTAATCATGAGAAAACAGACAAATTCCAGACAAAACAACTGGCCTTCCATCGCATGGAAGACAAAATTTTAAAATTTTTTTAAAAATAAGGCACAAGGACTATTCCAGATTAAAAGAGACCAGAGAGACGTGATAAGATACAACTATGGGGACGTTTGAAGTAATGTGACCAGAGACCATATATTAGTTAACATATATACAACATATAAAATAATCACATATATTACATACTATGTAGTAATGATATTGTGGTTATGTAAGAGAGTGTTCCCATTAGAAAACACAAGCTGAAATATTCAAGGGTGAAGTGTCCTGGTGTCTATAACCTACTTTCAAAAGGTTCAGGGAAAAAAAAGTGTGTGTGTGTGTGTGTGTGTGTGTGTGTCTGGAGAGACAGAGACAGAGAAGATAAAGCAAATGTGGCAAAATCCCAGCAATTTGTGAGTCTGCAGGAAGAGTATAAAAGCTTTCGTTGTAGTATTCTGTCCACTTTTCTAGGGGGTTGAAATTTTCTAAAACTGAATATTGGGAGAAAAAGCATGAGTCGGACTCCCTGTCAGGGCAGGTGTCCTGGAGGAAGGGAAAAACCAAGGGAAGGAAGACTGGCAGCTGGGGAGAGTAGGGTTTCCTTTGCATGAGGTTGCAATCTTGGACTCGTATAAACCACACAAAGGGGGAAATGAGAGATTGGAGGCCAGACTAGACAGATAATGAAGTCTGTAATGAAGTCTGCCGCCAGGTCCCACCATTCTCAGAGAGGGCCTAGGAAAGAGGGCTTCCTCCTAGCAGAGGAAGAGAACCACTTTTCCGGGGCTGACAAGAACAGTTCCCCACGGGCAAAAGACTTGTCCCAAATGTACGGAGAAAATCTGCACAGATGTGATCTGGAAAGCCCAGAAAGGTCATCGTGGCAGACTTGAAGCATCATTTGATCAGTTCTGAGATGACCAAGTTACTGAGTGAGGGGACTCGGGGGAACACAAGCGGGCAGGATGCTGAGAAGACAAAAAGGACAGAAATAAGCAGAACCCGGGTGGGCTTGGCTGGTAGCCCAGTGGGAAGCCCTACCAGGTGGGATTTCCACCTCAGGCCAGTGAGAAGTGAGACAGGATTGAGAGGAACGATGGGTGCTTTCAGCAGACACGATGGTCCTTGACGTTATGTCTGTCACTGTCAGAGCTTCCCAGGACTCCTCACAGAGAAGTATGTGAGAGACAAATTCTGACTTCAAAACACGGAGTCTGGTTCTCAGAAATGAGTGAGCTTCCAAGTCCCCTGGAGGCTCCTTCAAACCCAGATGGCTGGGCCCCCGCAGGAGTCTCTGGTTCACTGGTTGGGGGGCGGCCTGGGGGTTTGCGTCCGTAACAAACCCCCAAGTTATAGGGATGCCTGGGGTCCCAGGCCCACACTCGGAGGAGTACTGACAGGGCAGAAAGGAAATGAAAGGACACTGTGGTCCGGCAAGCTTGGAAACCCTGAGCAGGACGAAGAAAGGTAAAGGTTACCGGCTTCTTCTTAAACTGCTTAAAAACAGATTAAAGTATTAGAACCTGGCTCAGTCTTCCAAAAAGTCAGAGGGAAACAATGGAGCCACACGGGAGGGTCTGGCCTGGCTGCGGGGAGAGGAAGGAGGGTCGCTCGAGGGGTGAAGCCAAGAGTGAGCAGAGCAGCCACAGCTCCTGCGCTCGTCCCGGCGGCCCCGAGAGGCGCGGCCCCAGGTCCCCAGTCGGCTGCGGGCCGGTGTCCAGCAGCAACCAGCTGGCGAGGAGGAGTCACAAGCCTGCGCCGGGCCCACCTCCCAGCGCCACCGAGGCCACCGCCTGAGGCCACAGGGCCCGTTTCCTGCGGCCTTTCCTGACGCGCGTGCCAGGTTGGCACCAGCGACCCAGCTGAGGAGGAAACGAATTCCTCAGCGGCTCATCGCACCATTTCTCTTATAGTGAGAGCGGCCGTTGTTACTATTTTAGCCGAGAACGACCTCTGTTTGCCAAGTGCCAAATTCCCACACGGCCCCGTGCACTAGCAGGACGCGGGTCCCGTACAGGGAAGAAATCGACCCTGCGCAGGCTGACGGTCGCGCACAGGGTCCCGCAGCGCGTCGCCCGCTGGGGACAGGGTGACGGAAGCCCGGGCAGCGGCAGGGCGCCGGGTCTGCGGGCGGCGGGCGCAGGCGCAGGCACAGGAGGACGAGCCCGCGGCCCCGGCAGAGCGAGCTCCGGTCGGTCCGCAAACCCGACGAAATCCCCGCAGGGGCCGAAGCGCAACCCACGGTGTAGACTCTGCGGAGAGCAACTTCCCGCCCAGGCTGTCATCCGCACGCGGGGCGAGAGCGCGGCACGGCGGACCGAGGGACGGGCGCGCGCCTCTGACGTCACCGGGGGCCCCGCCCGGGCCTGTGACGCCACCGGGGGCCCCGCCCGGGCCTCTGACGCCACCGGGGGCCCCGCCCGGGCCTGTGACGCCACCGGGGGCCCCGCCCGGGCCTGTGACGCCACCGGCGGCCCCGCCCGGGCCTCTGACGCCACCGGGGGCCCCGCCCGGGCCTCTGACGCCACCGGCGGCCCCGCCGGGCCTCTGACGCCACCGGGGGCCTCGGCCGCCAGCCAGGTTGCCCGCAGAAGCGGCGCCTGCAGCCCCCGCCGGCCGGTGCTGCCCTGGAGGGCGGCGGGTTTCCGTGTTCCGAGACCCCGTGGCCCGGAGCGCGACCGCGGCAGGCCTCCTAGCAGCTCTGGAAGGAAGTTCGCTCTCTCACGCTTTTCTCCGATAACCGGAAATGACGGAGAAACGCGCGTCCTGCTCCTCACGACTCGAGCCGATGCTTCCTCGCGGCTTCGCACCTTCTACGCCGCCGGCTTCGCAGCGCGGCAGCTCCTCGGCCGACGGCGGGAACCGGCGGACGGACGGACGGACGGACGGACGGTGTCAGCCGCGCTGCCGAAGAACCGCGGGGAGCACTCAGGAGGGGCTTCGTTCTCAGAAAATAAATGCCGTGAAGAGACGCTTCGTCATCGGTCATGCTGCTCCCGGGGCGTCCGGGGTCGCGACAGAGCAGGAAGGAGCTCGCGGCCACCGGAGCTCAGTGGCCGGCGAGAGGCAGTCGGAGCGACACGGACAAAGGGAAGTTTGCTATTTTGTCCTAGTGGAGGACAGTCCGCGGGATTTACCTTCCTGCTTCAGAGCGCTGTGACGAGTCTCTACCGTCTTACTCTCGGCCGCTTCGCGCTAGTCCGTCCGTGGTCACAGGCCGCGGCCGCCGGAAGCAAGTGGAAGTGCCAGTTGCTGCGGACACGGCATCCAGCCCAGGAGGGGAGCCGAGAGAAGAAGAGCGCCGTGAAGAAGGGGACCCCAGATCACGTTAACAAGGAGCACAACCCCTTAGAGACTGTCACTTCTTTTAATACTGTTTACTGTTGCAGGACAAAAGCAGACAGACTGAGCTACATATACTTCTTAGAGCCATTAGTTAACTCACCACATTCAAACCTTTTTTTTTTCTTTTTAATTTATTTATTTGACAGACAGATCATCAGTAGGCAGAGAGGCAGGCAGAGAGGGGGGGGAAGCAGGCTCCCTGCGGAGCACAAAGCCCAATGCAGGGACTCGATTCCAGGACCCTGGGATCCTGACCTGAGCCGAAGGCAGAGGCTTTAACCCACTGAGCCACCCAGGCACCCCTCAAATCTTCTTAAGATACATAACTTAGAGATCACTGCTGGAATTTGGGGGGATGAGAGAACCCGGTGATGGGCATTCAGGAAGGCACGTGACGTGATGGGCACTGGGTGTTATATGCAACTCAGGAATCATTGAACACTACATCGGAAACTAATGACATGGTATATGTTGGCTAATTGAATTTAAATTTAAAAAAATTCCAGAGGGGACAGAACTTCTGTTCCCCAGCAAAGCCAAGCCTTTACTGCTCCCAAGAAATGCCGGATGGGATGCATAATGTGTGATCTTGGGGGGAGGAACTGACCATGTCCAGCGCAGTGGGTCAGCCTACGGGCAGCAGCCCGTCCTCCGCTGTCTTCTATGTGGCTGTTCGTGAGCCTGTGGCCTGCTGGCAAAAATGGAGCGTAACTATTGTGAGGTAATGTTAGGAAGCCCGTTGGGCCACAGACCCACATCTGTTTACTGGTCAGCTATCTCTCTAAAAAGTCAGTTTTCATCAAAGTCTCCCTCCTACAGAAAACAAGGCTGTCCTCTACCCCCATAGCTGGGAAATGCAAGGGCATCCTTTTCCTTTCTAGGCAAAATGGTGCCATTTGAGGTAACTACTCTCGCTCCAGGTAGGCCGGGAGTTGACCCACCGTACCTCATGCCTTTGCTGAAAAAGGACATCTCACTGCTGAGACCCATGCTTCAGTTCAGAGCCTCAACCCATGGTTGTGTCTTACGAGGTCAACTTAAGACATCACTTCTGCCCAGGCCCCTCGCTGCCACCTCATTTTTGTTTGCATTCAGCACAGAGTGGGCTGTCATGTGCGCTTCTGCTCGGTAGACCCACGTAGATTTGTGCCCAGCAGCTCTGCCCATGGACAGCTCAGCTGCGTATTGTGAACACAGTGCTGGTGATTCTATCTTGTTCAAGCCCAACTTGCAGAACTACTCCAGAGACTGGAGATGACGTTGTTGACGGGCCCAAGGCCTGTTTGTCTATTTCATAGGATACCTCAGTTTCTAGAAACTCTTCCTTTGGTCTTCGTGCCACATTACCTTTAGGGATTTCAAAGTACTGACATTACTCATATTAAATACCTGAGAACCGAGTGTTTATGGAGGACCTACAATGTACCAGGCGGAAACCTGGACTGTCCGTGCAAGGAATCCACAGGGGAAAATCGTAAACAAAAAATACAATCATGTTTAAGTGTCATAATAGAGAACAGGAGACGTGAACTCTGTGGCATTGTTCCAAGTCTTTGTAATAGGGTGGATACAAGAGTGTCTCATCTCTTTGGTATACGGAGGGCATAAAAGCAGATTGCATGCCCAGAACCTGGCATAGACCTAGTATGTGTTTAATGGGATTTTTTTGGTCACATTTTTCCATGCCCTCTCCCTCCTCCACACCCATGATAGAATTATGAGTGAGTGGAGCATACCCAAGTAGGATTAAACCCTTGAAATCTCTAAAAGAAGACTGGTCTGCCCATTCCGGGTGACAGAAGGTGCAGTGTCATCGTGAACTAGAGACTACTTGGACCCAAGCATTTGTTTTAAGGAGGTAAAATGAAGTGTAAGTTATTGAACCAACACAAGCAATGAGAACTGGGGACACATAGCTAATGTACAACCCAATAGAGCTCTGTATAAGCAGCATCACTTCGAGTACTATTATTGCACGGAATTTTATTTTCCTCTCACCAAAAATGGCTCGAATCTTACCAAATGTGACTAAGGACACTGTCTCTACTGTGACCTAGCCCAGACTTTCCTGTGCTTTCATCACGCATGTGCACCCACTGATGTTGCCGTAGACGCAGGCCAGTGGGCCTTGCCTTGGAGCTGGCATTTGAGAGAGGCCCACCCGGCCTTCCCCCTGGGGCACACTGGAGCCCAGGCCCCTCCAAGATCACTCGGTGAGCACCCCAGATCCCTGGAATCCCCTGCTTGAATAGCGCTGAGCCTACTCCCAGCAGCATGTACGCCTTTCCTGGGCTGGCCTCTCAGAGTGGGAACTTGTAGGGGCATGTGGAACCCTGACCCCAGGGCAGGGCTCTTCAGGCCTGAAGAAAAGGAGAGTCTAGACTCACTCCTGGCCATCCACATCTTTAGGAAACCGCATTTGTCGAGGTAGAAAGCTCTGACACACTGTACTCATGAATTTGTAAAGGTGAGTAATAACTTGAAAACATGTAGACCTATAGTGTGCAGGTCTCCTGTTGCTCCTTATCCCAGACCCTACTACAAAGGTTAAGACCAAAGCTGCTGTCCAGGCCCCTTAGCAGTGTGTGGCTCATGATTACATTGAGTCTCCAGAGCCACCAAGGCCTGTTCTGGGGGCAGCGACCAAATGCCCCTGTTGGCTACAAGGAGGAAAGCCCTTCACACCTGCCTCGGCCTTCCACCACCACGCAGTGCTGAGGGATGGCAGGGGAGGCCCTGTCCACCTGCTTGGGGACCCCAGAAGGAAGGAGAGTTTGAGTGGATACTCACGGAAGTTCTGTCTATGGTAGGGAATGTTAAGGTTATACCAAATTCATGACATATGTGGTAAATTATAAGCACAAAACCAAAACAAGTCCAGGTACGTATTTGTCCTAGGGAGCCCTCGCATCGGGCCAGAGGTCATGCTGCATGGCACAGAGCCACAAAGCCTGTCTGGGAGCTGAGCCCTGCATTGCAGACGGAGCGGGGATACTGATCCACAAGGCACTGAAAGCTGCGTAAGCTCTGGTCCGAGCAGCATCCCAGTGTCCCTGCCAGACTCCTGGTGATAAAAATGATTCACTGAGAGATGAAGTCAGAGAGAAGACAATCGGGGGACGAGGGTTGTGGTGGCCCCCACAAGTGTGCCCCACCCCAGTTCCTGCATAACCCACAAAGATGACAGTCATTTCCAAATGAGTATGCAAATTTTTCCTCCGTGGAAGTATCTAAAAGCAAAATTGGTCCATTGAGTTAATCACTCAACGGGACACTTCAGTGTGCTCTAGTCCTGACATCTAATCAGGAATACAGCTGCATTTAAATACTGGAGACTTAAAGGATTTTGGTTTCTGAACAAGGGATTTTCTAGATAATCTTGCCTATAAGGTCCTTGACTTGTGCAGTGAAATGCTGCCAACCGTGATCCACGGGAAATCACGGCGCGGTGCTTCTCTCTCGGTTTTTCTCCTGTGTATACGGCTGGGAATTTTTCATTATAATTAACATTTGCTAGTGAAAAGCTCGTTTCTCAGTTTAGCTGTTGACTTAATAGAAACCAAATCCTCGAGGACCTGCCCTCCCCTCCACAGCAAAGTCTACCACCAGGCGAGGCACCTGCTGCACAGGGCATACTGGCCCTTAAAGCAAGTCGGGGGGTCTGGCTCAGAAAACTCCCAAGGCTAGAGCTCAAGCCAAGATTTTGCTTGTTCTCTGAACCCATTTTTCTCTAAAGAGAAAGAATCTAACAGACAGAAACGCAAACTTGAAATGGTGCTAAAATAAAAAGGCTGTTGCTATAGATTATGCAAAAAAAAATCATTAGGATAGGGCCATCAGCTTCCATTAAATAAGTCTAAAATAAAAAGCTGGGAGATAAAAAATATTTTTAAAAAATTGATGTAGGGGTGCCTGGGTGGCTCAGTGGGTTAAAGCCTCTGCCTTCAGCTCAGGTCATGATCTCAGGGTCCTGGGATCGAGCCCCACATCGGGCTCTCTGCTCAGCAGGGAGCCTGCTTCCCCTCTTCTCTCTCTGCCTGCCTCTCTGCCTACTTGTGATCTCTCTCTGTCAAATAAATAAATAAAATCTTTAAAAAAATTTATGTGGAAAGAACCAAGATGCCCTTCAACGGACGAATGGATAAGGAAGATGTGGTCCATATACACTATGGAGTATTATGCCTCCATCAGAAAGGATGAATACCCAACTTTTGTAACAACATGGACGGGACTGGAAGAGATTATGCTGAGTGAAATAAGTCAAGCAGAGAGAGTCAATTTTCATATGGTTTCACTGACTTGTGGAGCATAAGGAATAACATGGAGGACATTGGGAGATGGGAAGGAGAAGTGAATTGGGGGAAATCAGAGGGGGGAGACAAACCATGAGAGACTGTGGACTCTGAGAAACAAACTGAGGGTTTTGGAGGGGAGAGGGTGGGGGTTGGGTGAGCCTGGTGGTGGGTATTAAGGAGGGAACATATTGCATGGAGCACTGGGTGTGGTGCATAAACACTGAATCTTGGAACACTGAAAAAATAAAATTAAATTAAAAAAAATTAAAAAACAAATAGATAAATTTAAAACATTTGAAAGAAGAAAAGGAGGGGGAAAAAAGGAAAAGAAAAAGGCACACTGAGGCTTTGCTTTTGGTGCCCCCTGCCAAAGCCCTGGTAATTACGCCTGTTGGAATATTTAGCATAATTAGTCTTTAGCTGCCCATTTCAGTTTTACTCAAGATATAAATGTCAAGTCAAAGCTATTAAAAACCATGTTCTTGAGAAACAGATACTCAGAAGGAGAATTGCCCAGGTAGCAAAGACACTGCTGGAATCACAAATGTCACTGGGTATTTGTATTGTTGCGCTGGCTAGATGCACTAATTACTATAATTCTTTTATAGGACAGAAACTCTGGACTGGATGATAGCCACATAAAACTAATTCTTATGGTAATTAGCCCCCCGTTCAAGTGAAAGCAAACCGAAGTCGCAAACTCTGCCCTGCCCGTCTACGGTACAGGTTATTCACGCTCAGAAAATCGGCCCATAGGCCTTAGGTCAGTATTTCCTATTAAGTGGCAGGGCTCCTCTCAGCCCTGAGCTGCTGCAAACCAGGCATGTGATTTACTGTCCATCATCTCAGATAAAAATAGCTCTTTTTTTCCACAGGCAGCATGAGGATCACTGGCCAGAGTCAACAGAAAACAGAGTCTGGTGTCACCAGCAGAGCCGGGGGCCCTCGTGCTGCTTTGCATTTATCACGGGCATTTCCTTTGGGGACGATGAGACATTCCCACAAGGGACAGAGAAGCAAATTTCTTTGCCTTTGAGGGGAGGCTACAGTTGCCTCAGCAGCTGCCCAAAAAACTGTCATCAGAGCCCAGAGCTGGGGACGGAGACCCGAGCCTGATGACGTGAAGAGCTTGGAGAAAGGCCCCCACCCCAGGCGACGGCAGGAGGAGGCACTTTGGAGCTGAAAGTGCTCCGTGGGCAGAGTCCTGGAGTTCAGAGACAAACAGAAATGTAAAGAACCTTCTCCCTCCTCCTTTCACTGGTGAGGAGATGAGATCAAGGAGGAGGTGAGCCTTCTGGGATGGTGCGCGGAGTCGACGGCCAGGTCGATGTGGTGTAGACACGGAGCTCTTTTTATCTCATCCCGGTTCCCCGAAGGAAGGAAGGATAGAGTCAGCTCTGGGCAGGCTGATGAGAGAGTAAACATGCCTGTGGGCTTTCTAAGAGTGACATTTTGACAAATATGGAAGCCTGGGAACAGGGTGCAGATGTGAGGGTGAACAAACGCGGCTCTGTCAGAAGAGAAGAGAATACGAGACCAGGCAGGCTACATGAGAAATCGGGCCCAGTTTCCAAATAGAGCTCAACTGCTTCGTTGTCTAATCATTTCTTTCAGTTCTTTGAAAGATTAAGTTGCACAAATCTTGTTTAACGTGCAGGGAATCTGCCACCTTCCGGCTCACAAGTCAGGGGTGACTCCAGGAGGTGACTGAACGTGAAAGGCATGTGTTCTCTAGAATCGCCAAGGCACACTGCCCAAGCTCTGTGAGTGGGGCCCGGCGTCCTCATCTGGTCACAAACCAATTAAATTAAGTGCTACTGAAATTGCTTTTTATCATCTGGATAAGAAGCAGTTCACAAGTGAGATGCAAGGCTTAACGTATAAAAGCTTATTCATAAGCCTGGGCCTAGTGACTTAATAGTCACACTAAGACCCATATAACATATTTGTGAGATGGAAATGAGCTGTCAAAGCACGAGAGGGCTCTGGGGGTCACAGATATTAGAACTGGATAACAGCTCCTCGTTCTCCATAAAATTGTCTGGAATTGCCAGTAGCGGCTCTCTAGGAATTCCACAGAGACCGTGGTTGCTCACCTCAAAGGAGCTGTTCCCATCTGCACGGTGGGCGTGTGGGGAAGGTGCTGGGCCGCTTCCCCCAGCAAGGTCCACCCTCAGCTGGACTAAAACACAAAATTGCCTCCAAGCAGAAACAACCAGCTGATGGTTGCTTTTTTCTGCCTAAAAATCTCCATTTCCTTTGAGGAACTGATTTTCACAGCCCGTGCCCCCGTAGGGAACAGTTCTGGTGCGTTCTTTCAGTGTCGTTTGGGACCCTGGTTTCCCTGGACATAGAAATGGGTCGTCGCTCATTTTTGCAACCAACCTTCACTGAGTGTATTATCGCAGCGCCAGGGCTTCTACAGTAGCCAGCTCGCGGCCCGGGGGCGCTTGTCCTCTGCTGTGAGCCCCCAGGCACGAGCTAACGATGCCCTCCCTGCAGCGGTGAGGGGCAGGGAGAACATACAGCGGGTGGCAAACGGAGACCACCTGTGGGACCTAAAGAAGTGACATGGGACAGAGACCTGATTCGTGGGAAAGAGCCAGGGGTGGGAATGCCTGGGAAGGAACATGTGACCCGGGATGAGGCCCAACCACACCTTCGCAGGTCACAGCGGCTGGTCCAGGACGGGGTATGGGACACAAGCCGCGTCAATCAGGAATTTCTTAGGTGAGGCCAGAGGGAGGGGCTTTGTGGTTCGGATGGCAGACAGGCTGCCAAAACTCGCCCTCTCTGAGCGATGAAAATGGTCATCTGTCCTCAGAGAACGAGGCCAACACAGGTGAGAGCGGGTGCCGTGGCGCCTGAAGCCAGACCCGCCCTGGGCAGACACGGAGGGGCAGCCCCAGACCCTCCTTCCAGAAGGGACTCTCTGTCTCATTTGTGGGAAGTGAGTTTGGCTGTGGTTACTGTGGAGAGCCCCAAGCTCCCTGCTAACCTAGGGACTGCCCAGCTGTCAGCCTGAGGTCCCACTTCGCTCAGGCGGTGGCTCTCGCCGGGGACAGGGCCAGGCAGTGGTGCACAGTCACATCCTTCTTGAGCACCCCAGGGACAAGGTCCAGAAGCCCTCACACTTTCTCACTCCGTGCCACCTTCAATGTCTCAGTACTTTTTCAAAGAAGTTGCCTACCAGTTCCTTTCATTAAAGGGCCAAACGAGGTGACAGTAGTAGTTTGTGGCATGTCTGCCAAACGTCACTGTGTTTCCTAGGAATATTGCAAACAGCCTGCAGTACCCTGGAGAATCAGAGGCACAGCTCAGGAAGTGCAGGGCTCACCATTCCTGTCCGGTGCAGGGCTCCCCCCCGCAGATGGCCCGTGCTCCCGAGCTCGCGAGCTCCGGGGTGGGCTGGCAGCTCCTCTCTCAGATCCGCACTGCAGACTGAAGCCTTCCCCTGTCCAAGCCGTCTTCCTCCCTTCTGCTTTCACAGACATCACTACCCAGTAAGACTTTGCACTTCTAACTCCATCTCTGTGTCTGCTTCTGGAGGAAGCCGACCTACAACCTACCTCTTGATTTTCAGGAGGCTACGTTACCGGGCACAATCGAAGGGAACTTCATGAAATCTGTTCCTGAGGTCACATTTAGGGAACATATTCCAAAATGATAGAACTGATAAATGTCCCAGATCAGATCTCCTTCAGCTGTAACCCGTTATGGCAGTCGTAGTCACCCCTGCATTGCCAGCTCCCCCCGAACGCTGTTGGTCACAGAGAAAGTGCTCAATAATTGTTGACTGTATATTTGATGAATGAGTAGTCACATAATCAGAGTCTTGGATAAAAGACAACTATAGTATGTTCCATTGTTTCCTTCTCCTAGAATTCATCTGAATCTTCAAAGTTCTGTCAACTATATTTTCCTCTCCAGAACCACATGATAAATTAGTAGCAAGATTTCTGGCAGAAAATAAGTATTTGGGGAGACTCAATTTCCCTACGAGGTAACTGCATCATTGACACTGAATGAGGTTGATTTCATCAGCAAGATTAATAAGTAGATTGGATTTTCTTGATGTGTAGGAAACCCAAGTGAATTTCAAAACCCGATCATTAGCAAATGAAACCAAGCTTGAAAACACAACTAGACAAGAAGTTATGTCTACGCCATGTAGTATCTATCCCCAGGCCTTTCGTTGCCGTATTTAATACACATCACAATAAAGACTTAAAAATCTCAGGAAAGAACCCTTCATGAAGGCAAGCCCACCTTTAGAACAGGATTTCCAATGGCAGAAGTGTTTCATTCTTTATGGGAGAACTAAACCTACCATAAAGTTCTTGAAACATTTCCCCTAAAGTGCTTCGTCGTGTAAACTGGGATTTCTCTCGACCAGCCTGGAAGTGAGGATGGGATCAGTTTGATGTAGCTTTCCATACACACCCTCTTGACACTCCCCTTTATCATGTGGAAGTGGCTTGCATCCTTTAATGGAGATGGTCCTTGTGGTAAGTCAGCCCAGCCTGCACTTCCATTAGTGCTAAATGCTCTTTTAAAGTGAAAGAAATACAGGACACTCAGCCCTATATTTCCCCTCTCTTCAGAGCCTTCCTGGAAGGCAGCAGGGGGGGAGCTCCCCGGACCAGCAGGGCCTTATTTACCGCTTCAGTCATTTTTCATGCTCTTCCAGAAGCAACTGTGCTCTCCCGCTCAGGTGTATCAGCAGATGCCCTGGGATTTCACACCTGCCGTGATGGAGGACATAAACACAAGTTAATTAAGTTTATTGTTCAAACAATTTGTTTTTCAGCAAGGGTGACTCACTTGCAACTACTTCCGCACGTCCCCCCACCCCAGAGGTAGACTACTGCTTTCACTCTGGTGTGGGGACCGCCTTTTTTAGAAATTCATTTTATTTCAGAGACTTCTAAGTCATCGGCAGAGTAACACTTAAAAAAAACAACAACACGAAACTATTGCTAATGGATGACAAGCTGTTTAAAAAAAGAGGAAGGACATAGAGCTGGTGCTTTTTTTTTTCATGGCCATAAAATTTTTCATAGTAACATCATGAAGGTGAAACTAGAATAAGTCGAATGTTGAAGATTTAGTATTGTGCAGCCTTCTTACTCAAAGTCAAGACTGAAAACTGCTTTTGAAAAGCTTTCACAGTCTCTCTGGCAGAATGAATCATGGAAAATGAATGGCAGGTAGAGTCCCAGGAAAAAAAAACGCAGGCAAGAGACATATGGAGGGTGTAAGGCTGCTGCTTTGTTTTTGTAAAGCAGGATCAAAGGACATTTCCCACACGAATTGCTTCTATTTTTACTTTGTATCTTGTGTTTCCATTCATCCTCTCTACCTGATGTTCTGGAGACTCTTTTTGTCCTCGTTTCTTTCTTGTCACATGCCAAATCATTTCTGGCAAATGGAAGACTGGTAGACCAAAGCTCCAATAGCTCTATGGCAAACCCACACATAAGCCAACTTTTTTTTTTAAATCAGATTAATAATTGAAAGGAGGACTGAGAATTTTCTAGATATAATCCCACTTTGATTCTTAGTTCAGTTCGTCAGTAACTGGTTCTCTCTAACCGGCTGCAGCAACAACCCATTGAAACTGTACTTCTGGGTCCCATTTTCTGAACCGTGCATCGCGTGTGTACTTCTGTTCTGAATAGCTACTTATACCTACTTATGTAAGAGAAGACAACATGGTTTTTTAAGTAAAAACAGAAATACAGATACTGGACCACAAAATAATAATGATGGAAATCTTGTCATAGTTTTGGGAAACTTATTTTTGTCCTAGTTGGAGAAAAATTCTATTCTTCTCACTGTTTTTTACACCTATGGAAAAACTCGCCCATGCCACTCTGTATGTGAGTCAGTCAAGTACAGTAATTAGAAAATAGGCTAATTTGGTCCCTGATCTTTACCCAGCCTCCCCCAAAACATTTTATTTTAAAAATGTCTCTTTTCCCATCTTCGGAGAATGAGTGACCTTATGCTTTGTTGACTTGGGAAAACTCAGTTGCCAAATGAAAATTGTCTACAGCGAACTGTCAGCTTCCAGCGCTTCAGACTGTAACCCAGGGAGCAATTAATGGGAACGCATGGCTCATCTTCACCACCAAGGGGCTGGGGAAGCCCAGACCCGCAAGCCTTAACCAGCTAATTATATCGCCATGCGTTATCCTCCGGAGTCCGTTTGTAACCCAGTTAGAGAACAGGCACATTTCCAGAAGTGCCAGTGTAAATGTTGCTCTGCTAAACCGCTAACTAACAGCCACAAACTTGAGTTGTCATTAACAAAAAATGTCCTCCTAAGATCCTAAAATGTAAAGAGCTACTAAGATATTCATTTTCTGGGTCATCACTTTCAGTTTAGTTCAGGCAAAGCTATATATTTCAATAAATTACGTACTCTTACCATGACTGAAAGTTCAAAACAATGTGTTCTATACGATCAACATATAGGTAATCACTATCACTCCACCACAAATAACTTGGGACCACATTTTTCCCTCGAACAGCCAACATGTGGTGAACGTGATTATCAATCTACAGAAGTCACCTTAAAAGACAGGCTACCTTTCCAGTCAATATACCAGGAAAACAGTTCCCAGACACTGAATAACTTGGGCTTGGTGTAAAAAATATATATATATTTGCGGCTTACTCAATATCCAAAGAGAAACCAGATACACTGCAAAGAATGGTCTTCTTAAGGTTTCAAAAAGAAAGAATTCTATTAGCTGAAACACATTTTTTTCGCACCCTATTATAAAAGTTCACTTAAAGTGTAAAAATTCAGCTAAATGTATGAGGTACAACGAATAAAATTCTTTGACGAAAACATAAGCATAAGGTGTCATGACCTTGGGTTAGACAGTGGTTTCTTAGATATGACACCAAAAGAACAAGCGACAAAAGAAAAGCTTGATAAATTGAACATTATCAAAATTTGAAATTTTATGCTTCAAAGTATGCCACCAAAGACGTGAAAAGATAATGCATAAAGTAAGAAAAAATATTTACAAGTCATTTATTTGATAAGGGACTTGTATTCAGAATACATTTGCAACTCAACAGTAAAAAAACAATTGACGCAACTGAAAAATGGGCAAGGATTTCATAGATATTTCTCCAAAGAAGATATATAAATGTCCAAAAAGCACATGAAAGATGCTTAACATCATTAATCATTAGGGAAATGTAAATTAAAGCCACAATGGGATAATACTGCTTCACACCCACTCAGATGACTAAAATGAAAAAGAGAAGAGCGAGTGTTAGAGAGGAAATGGAGAAACGGGGCCCCTCAAACGCAGCTGATGGGATTGGAAAAAAGGTGCGTGTTCGAAAACAGTTCGGTAGTTCCTCAAAAAGTAAAACGTGGCTACCATATTAGCCAGCAGTCCCGCTCCTAGATGTACACTCCAGAGAAATGAAAACACACGTCCTCACCGAAACTCATACATGACATGTTCAAAGCAGCATTATTCACAATAGTTGAAAAACAGAAAAGTCACAAATGTCTGTCAACTGAAGAACGTATGAACAGAAT